GATGTCTGGGAAGGCGCGCAGACAAGGCGCGCTGACCCATAATGCATTCCTTAATGACATGTGATCGCATTAGCCAATCAGCAGCCAGGCAGCCAGCACTGTGTAATGGTCGAGCTATAAATAGCGGCCATTTTAGAATTCTTCATTTGCCTCCAGTCATTCAAGAGAGGCAGACCGCTCTGTATTAGGGACAGAGTTAGGGCCACAGAAATGTTACTTGGGGACAGAGAAACGTTACTTAGGGACAGAGAAGCATTACTCAGGGACACAGAATTGTTAATGAGGGCCACAGAATCGTTACTTAGGGCCAAAGAAACGCTAGTTAGGGCCACAGAATTGTTACTCAGGGACAGACAGAATTGTTACTGAGTGCCAGAGAATTGTTACTTAGGGCCACAGAAACGTTAGTTAGGGCCACAGAATTGTTACTCAGGGACAGACACAGAATTGTTACTGAGGGCCACAGAACTGTTACTTAGGGCCACAGAAACGTTATTAGGGCCACAGAATTGTTACTCAGGGACAGACAGAATTGTTACTGAGTGCCAGAGAATTGTTACTTAGGGCCACAGAAACGTTAGTTAGGGCCACAGAATTGTTACTCAGGGACAGACACAGAATTGTTATTGAGGGCCACAGAACTGTTACTTAGGGCCACAGAAACGTTAGTTAGGGCCACAGAATACAGAATTGTTACTGAGGGCCACAGAATTGTTTACTTAGGGCCAGAAACAGAAACCACAGTTACTCAGGGACACAGAATTGTTACTGAGGGCCACAGAATTGTTACTTAGGGCCACAGAAACGTTAGTTAGGGCCACAGAATTGTTACTCGGACAGACACAGAATTGTTACTGAGGGCCACAGAATTGTTACTGAGGGCCACAGAACCGTTACTTAGGGCCACAGAATTGTTACTCAGAGGACACAGAATTGTTACTGAGGGCCACAGAACCGTTACTTAGGGCCACAGAATTGTTACTCAGGGACAGACACAGAATTGTTACTGAGGGCCACAGAATTGTTACTGAGGGCACAGAACCGTTACTTAGGGCCACAGAATTGTTACTCAGGACACAGAATTGTTACTGAGGGCCACAGAACCGTTACTTAGGGCCACAGAATTGTTACTCAGGGACACAGAATTGTTACTTAGGGCCACAGAAACGTTACTCAGGGGACACAGAATTGTTACTGAGGGCCACAGAACTGTTACTTAGGGCCAGAAAACGTTACTCAGGGACACAGAATTGTTACTCGAGGGCCACAGAAACCGTTACTTAGGGCCACAGAATTGTTACTCAGGGACAGACACAGAATTGTTACTGAGAGACACAGAATTGTTACTGAGGGCACAGAACTGTTACTTAGGGCCACATAATTGTTACTCAGGGACACAGAATTGTTACTGAGGGCCACAGAACCGTTACTTAGGGCCACAGAATTGTTACTCAGGGACACAGAATTGTGTTACTGAGGGCCACAGAAAACCGTTACTTTAGGGCCACACAAATTGTTACTCAGGGACAGACACAGAATTGTTACTCAGGGACAGACACAGAATTGTTACTGAGGGACACAGAATTGTTACTTTAGAGGCCACAGAACCGTTACTTAGGGCCACAGAATTGTTACTCAGGGACAGACACAGAATTGTTACTGAGGGCCACAGAATTGTTACTTAGGGCCACAGAACGTTACTCAGGGACTCAGGGACAGGGACAGACACCAGAATTGTTACTCAGGGACAGACACAGAATTGTTACTGAGGGCACAGAATTGTTACTTAGGGCCACAGAAACGTTACTCAGGGACACAGAATTGTTACTCAGGGACAGACACAGAATTGTTACTCAGGGACAGACACAGAATTGTTACTGAGGGCCACAGAATTGTTACTTAGGGCCACAGAACACTTACTCAGGGACACAGAATTGTTACTCAGGGACAGACACAGAATTGTTATCAGGGACAGACTAACAAATTGTTACTCAGGGCCAGACACAGAATTGTTACTGAGGGCCACAGAATTGTTACTTAGGGCTACAGAAACGTTACTCAGGGACACAGAATTGTTACTCAGGGACAGACACAGAATTGTTACTCAGGGACAGACACAGAATTGTTACTGAGGGACACAGAATTGTTACTGAGGGCCACAGAACCGTTACTTAGGGCCACTGAAAACGTTACTCAGGGACAGACTGACAGAATTTGTTACTCAGGACAGACACAGAATTGTTACTGAGGGCCACAGAATTGTTACTTAGGGCCACAGAAACGTTTACTCAGGGACACAGAATTGTTTAACTAGGGACAGACACACAGAATTGTTACTCAGGGACAGACAGAATTGTTACTGAGGGCCACAGAATTGTTACTCAGGGACACAGAATTGTTACTTAGGGACACAGAATTGTTACTCAGGGACAGACACAGAATTGTTACTCTGAGGACAGACACAGAATTGTTACTGAGGGACACAGAATTGTTACTGAGGGCCACAGAACCGTTACTTAGGGCCACAGAACGTTACCTTCAGGGACCACAGAATTGTTACTCAGGGTACAGGACACAGAATTGTTACTGAGGGACACAGAATTGTTACTGAGGGCCACAGAAATCGTTACTTAGGGCCCACAGAAAACGTTACTCAGGGGTTACTTAGACACAGAATTGTTACTCAGGGACAGACAGAAAATTGTTACGTGTGAGGGCCACAGAATTGTTACTCATAGGCCACAGAATTGTTACTCAGGGACACAGAATTGTTACTCAGGGACAGACACAGAATTGTTACTAAGGGACAGACACAGAATTGTTACTGAGGGACCACACAGAATTGTTACTGAGGGCCACAGAACCGTTACTTAGGGGCCACAGAAACGTTACTCAGGGGACAGACACAGAATTGTTACTCAGGGACACAGAATGGACCTCATGACACAGAATTGTTACTGAGGGACACAGAATTGTTACTGAGGGCTCCAGCAACAGAACCGTTTACTTAGGGCCACAGAAACGTTACTCAGGGAAAGTTCGCTTTACACAGAATTAGTTACTCAGGGGACAGACACAGAATGTTAACTTGACAGGGACACAGAATTGTTACTTAGGGCCACAGAAACGTTACTCAGGGGACACAGAATTGTTACTCAGGGACACAGAAGTTGTTACTCAGGAGACACAGAATTGTTACTCAGGGACAGACACAGATTGTTACTGAGGGCCACAGAATTGTTACTTAGGGCCACAGAAACGTTACTCAGGGACACAGAATTGTTACTCAGGGACAGTGCACCCGTGTACAGAAATTGTTACTCAGGACAGACACAGAATTGTTACTGAGGGACACAGAATTGTTACTGAGGGCACACAGAAACCGTTACTAGGGCCACAGAAAACGTTACTCAGGGACAGGACACAGAATTGTTACTCAGGGACAGACACAGAATTGTTACTGAGGGACTACAGAATTGTTACTGAGGGACACTGAATTGTTACTGAGGACACAGAATTGTTACTGAGGGACACAGAATTGTTACTTGGGGACACAGAATTGTTACTGAGGGCCAAGAACCGTTACTTAGGGCCACAGAATTGTTACTCAGAGGGACAGACAACAGAATTGTGTACTCATCGGACAGAGTAGACAGAATTGTTACTTTTCAGAACACAGAACCTTTACTTAGGGCCACAGAAACGTTTACTCAGGTGACAGACACAGAATTCTTACTTACGGGCCCGACACAGAATTCTTACTCAGGGCACAGAATTGTTACTGAGGGCCACAGAATTGTTACTGAGGGCCACAGATTTGTTACCTCAGGGCCACAGAATTGTTACTGAGGGACAGACAGGAATTGTTACTGAGGGACACAGAATTGTTACTGAGGGACACAGGGAATTTGTTACTCAGGGACAGACACAGAATTGTTACTGAGGGCACAGAATTGTTTGTACATGAGGGCCACAGAAACTGTTACTTAGGGCCACAGAAACTGTTACTTAGGGCCACAGAACTGTTACTTAGGGCCACAGAAACGGTTAACCAGGGCACACAGAAATGTTACTCAGGCGAACAGAATTGTACCCTAATTAACAGAGCCTCTGTCAGCGGTCCCCATGCAGAGGGAGTGGCCATCCATTGCTGACTTCTATTACAAGTAGCAGTCAGACACTCTTGCAGAGTGCAGAGGAGGGCTGATTTAGGAGCGAGACAGACGTGGCAGCAGAGGAAGGGGTCGAGGCAGCACTATATCGCAGCCAGAGGAGCTAGTGCTGCTGTCCCGGTGTCATCCTTTACAGTGAGGGAAGAGCTAACAGAGGGGGGTCAGGAACGGGGTGGAGACTTCGCCTCTTCAGCAGGCAGGCGAAAGATGTAGTTGGGTGGCGAGTGAGGTGGCTCGTGTTAGCCCGGTGTAGTGACAGGTCTGGCTCCTGACCCCATCACGCAGCCGAGGGTGCTAGTATGTGAGGCGGAGGGGGGAACCCTAATGTGATGATGTGAGGCTGATTTCGCACTTGCAGCCTCGACGTCATTCAGGCCTAAACTGGCTGTCCGTGTGTGCATCATCAGTTAGAAGTGGGTGCAGCTTGAGCTTTGTAGCAAAAACAGTCGGTGGGTTGTCTCCTCATCGCCCACCCTGCCATGTGCCACTGTCAGGTCTCCTCACACACTGCTGGTGTGTTGTATTTTTTGACATAGTGTGGCTGGCAGATTTCGGGCCTTTCAAATGCTGCAGCCAGGCCCCTAATTCTGCCATGGGCCCCTATATACGCCTACTCATGCTGCTTGCCAAGTCCTGAGTCTCTCATGGGGCCTGTACGGCTCCCATTGCTGCTGTCTCCATCGCCACACTCTGCCATGTGCCACTTTCAGGTCTCCTCACACACTGCTGGTGTGTTGAATTTTTTGACATAGGGTGCTGGCAGATTTACGGGCCTCCCATAGCTGCTGCCAGGCCCTTATCTGCCATAGGCCCCTATATACCGCCTCCTCATGCTGCTGCCAGGTCCAGAGTCTGTCCATGGGTCACTTGTACGGCCTCCCATTGCTGCTGTCTCCATCGCCACACTCTGCCATGTGCCACTTTCGCAGGTCTCCTCACATACTGCTGCTTGGCCCCTGTTTGTTGAATTTTTTGACATAGCGTTGCTGCTGGCAGATTAACGGACGCCTCCCATAGCTGCTGTCTCCAGGCCCACTCTAATCTGCATAGGCCCTCACAAGATACTGGTGCGCAGTTTTTGACTCCAGATACGGGCCTCCATAAGCTGTGCAGCCAATCTGCATAGGCCCCTAGAGGCCTCCTTCCTTTGCATGGAGTCTGTCATGGGTCCCCTGTACGGCCTCCCAGTTGCTGCTGTCTCCATCGTGCCCACACTCGTGCCATGTGCCACCTTTCAGGTCTCCTCACACACTGCTGGTGTGTTCAGTTTTTTGACATAGGGTGCTGGCTGGCACATAGATTAATCGCCATAGGCCCCTCCCTCCTCATAGGTCCAGTGTCTGTCAGGGTCCAGTACGCCCCTGCTGTCTCCATCGCCAATCTGTGCCATAGGCCCTCACACATATATACATAGCCAGATTACGGGGCTCATGCTGCTGCCAGGCCCTAATCCAGAGTCCCTATATACCGTCTCATGGGTCCCTGTACCCTGTAACCTCCATTGCTGCTGTCCTCCATCGCCACACTCTGCCATGTGCCACTTTTCAGGTTTTCCTCACACACTGCTGGTGTGTTCAGTTTTTTGACATAGGCGGTGTCTGGCAGACTTTACGGGCCTCCAATAGCTGCTGCCCCAGGCCCTACATCTGACAGTAGGCCCCTATATTAAACCGCTCCTCATGCTGCTGCAGTCCAGAGTCCTGTCAAGGGTCCCTGTACGGCCTCATTGCTGCTGTCCCCCATCGCCACACTCTCCCCTTGTGCCACTTTCAGGTCCCCCTAACACACTGGGGTTGTTTTGGGAAATTTTTTGAATAGGGTGGGGAAAATTTAGGGGCCCCCCCATAGTTTGTCCCGGGCCCCTAATCCCCCCATAGGCCCCTATAAAAAGCCCCTCTTTCTGCGGCCAGGTCCAGAGCCCTGTCAGGGGTTTTCCCTTTTACGGCCCCCCCTTTTGGCTGTCCCCATCGCCAAAACTCTGCCAGTCCCACTTTCGGGGTCCCCCTCACCACTGTGGGGTTTTTCAGTTTTTTGACATGGTGCTGGAGTTTGGGGGCCCCCATAGCTGTCCCGGGCCCCAAATTTCTCCCAAAACCCCCCTATATACCCTCCATTATCCCTGCTCCCAAGGCCCAGAGTCTTTTCAGGGGCCCCCTTAGGGCCCTCCCATTTGTTTGTCTCCCATCGCCACCCCTTCCCGTGCCATTTTCGGGTTCCCCCAAAAACACATGTTTGGTGTTTTTAAAATTTTTGAATAGGGGGCGGGCAGATACGGGCCTCCCTTTAGCTGCTCCCCCGGGGCCCCCTTAAACCTGCCATACCCCCCTAAAACCCGCCCCCTTCTTTCGTCCCCGGGCCCGGGAACGTAGTAAACACAGGGGGGGAAAACCTTTAGTGTAATAACAGAGAAATCGACAGAGGGGTTGTCCCCGCGCAAACTAAAAATGGGAAACCCCATGTTGACCGAAAACGGAAAAAACAGGGTTTTCCTGCTTGCGTAAAAGAAAGGTTGTGCCATGCCCCCATGCAGGGCTCACGTTTTTAAAAATCTGGTTGCAACCCGGTTCCTAAAATCCCCAACCCCATTTCCCAAACATCCAAAAAAAATGTCACGTAAATTTTTGCATGCATTTCACCTTTCCCCAAAAACCGCAAAGCACCCCCTCCTTACCCCAGGGGAAAGAAGGGAATTGACAGCATCCCCTGATCGCGACTTTTGCAAAAAGGTGGAATTCCCCCCTACAAAATGTTAGACCCCCCTTTACAAAACCAAAAAAGGCCATCACCGATTTCCGATGTTAAAAAGGGAAAAAGGTACTCCTGGGGAACTTAGAATGTCGGGCCTTTTGCAGCTCAGGGCGTGACCCCTGCGCTTGGGGGGGCCCTTTGAGGGGGCCCACGCTATTGTAGTGGGACAGGAAAGGGGAATGAACGACGTCTTTCCTTTTTTCCCACGTCCTGGAAAAATGTTTTTAAACAATGGTGGTCAGGGGGCGGTAGGTGGCGCACAAAATTCAAGGGCCACATGCCCCCTGTGGGGGCGGGAAGGAAGAAGAGGAGGGGGATTAGAGGGGGAAACTTTTGTGTTTCAGGAATTATTGATTTAAAATGGGTGGTTTTTCATCAGCCCCGGGAGTGGGGGCAGGGATCTGGTAGAGGAGGGGGAGGAGGAGACAGAGGCCCCAGACCCCCGTGGCAGTATGCTGGGGAGTTTGGGGGGCGGGGAGTTTCTCGCTTTCCATTGGCACAATGGGCCTAGCATGCTCGCTTGCTTGCGTTTGCGACAGACCGAATATAACCATCAGAAGAGGGATGACTTTTGGCTGTCACTTGTTGGACCCCGCTACCGTTCAAAAATGGTGGCCTTTTTCACACCGCTGAGAGGGAGGCCAAAAATAACGACTATAAAAAACCACCTATTGTAGTCAGCTGGTCTCTGCCTGTCTGCGCCAACGTCCATCCTCAGACACAACTGGGGCCCTGTGCACATCGCGTTCCACTTCCATGGCAGCAGGGGAGGGGTGGGGTGGTAGGAGCAGTGGCAGCTCTACCAGCAGCGGCTGCCTCAGTCCTGCAGTCGATGATGAGTAGCATTTCTTCACCATTCGCCAGCGCAGTGAGGAAACTACTAACCAGCCGCAGCAGCAGCAGCAGCATCAGGTGGGACCTGGAGCAGGACCACAAACAACAGGCTTAGGCCTACTTGGACAGCACCCTGCCAACCGAGGTAGACAAGATACCCGCGTTGACTACTGGGCAACGAAACTTGACCTTTGGCCCCAACTAGCCCCCTGAATTTGCCCTTGAAAGGCTGTCATGCCGGGCCAGTAGCGTGGCATCGGAGCGCGTGTGTTTAGTGCGGCAGGAGGTATTGCAACTCCGCGGAGGAACACGACTGTCCACTCCAAAGTGTGGAGAGACCACGTTTGTGAAAATGAATCAGGCGTGGATTAGTCTGGATTTCAAACCACCAGTTCCTTGACCACAACTGACTGAATCCGCCATGAATCATGCCTCAAACATGTGCCACTTCAGGTTTCCTCACACACTGCTGGTGTGTTCCATTTTTTGTCCATAGGGTGCTGGCAGATTACGGGCCTCCCATAGCTGCTGCCAGGCCCCCTAATCTGCCATAGGCCCCTATAATACCGCCTCCTCATGCTGCTGCCAAGTCCAGAGTCTGTCATGGGTCCCTGTACGGCCTATCCGATTTGCTGCTGTCTCCATCGCCACACTCTGCCATGTGCCACTTTCAGGTCTCCTCACACACTGCTGGTGTGTTGAATTTTTGACATAGGGTGCTGGCAGATTACGGGCCTCCTATAGCTGCTGCCTAGGCCCCTAATCTGCCATAGGCCCCATATATAAACCGCCTCCTCATGCTGCTGCCAAGTCCAGAGTCTGTCATGGGTCCCCCTGTACGTGCGACTGCCTCCCATTGCTGCTGTCTCCATCGCCACACTCTGCCAAGTTGTCCACTTTCAGGTCTCCCTCACACTGCTGGTGTGTTGAATTTTTTGACAATAGGGTGCTGGCAGATTACGGGCCTCCTATAGCTGCTGCCAGGCCCCTAATCGGCCATAGGCCCCAATATACCGCCTCCTCATGCTGCTGCCAGGTCCAGAGTCTCTCATGGGTCCCTGTACGGCCTCCATTGCTGCTGTCCTCCATCGCCACACACTCTGCCCATGTGCCACTTTCAGGTCTCCTCACACACTGCTGGTGTGTTGAATTTTTTTGACATAGGGTGCTGGCAGATTACGGGCCTCCTATAGCTGCTGCCAGGCCCCTAATCTGCCATAGGCCCCTATATACCACCTCCTCATGCTGCTGCCAGGTCCAGAGTCTCTCATGGGCCCCTGTACGGCCTCCCATTGCTGCTGTCTCCATCGCCACACTCCTGCCATGTGCCACTTTCAGGTCTCCTCACACTGCTGGTGTGTTCCATTTTTTGTCATAGGGTGCTGGCAGATTACGGGCCTCCCATAGCTGTCTGCACCCCAGGCCCCTAATCTGCCATGGGCCCCTATACCGACTCCTCATGCTGTGACGTTGCAACAAGGTGGAATTCAACCCTACATATGTTAGAACCGTGCCCTTTACGAACAGCAAAAGGCCATCACAGATTTCCTGATGTTAAAAGCGATAAAGGTACTCCCTGTGTAACTTAGATGTCAGCCATTGGCAGCTCATGCGTGACACCTGCGCTTGCTCAGGAGCCCTTTGAGGAGGCCACGCTATTCGTGAGTCGGACAGGAATGGGATGAACGACGTCATTCCTCTGTTGCACGTCCTGGAACAAATGCTGTTAACAATGGCTGGTCAGGGTGCGGTAGGCGTGGTGCACAGATCTCAACGCCACATGACCCCTGTGGGGGCAGGACAGGAAGAAGAGGAGGAGGTAGAGGAGGACATTGGTGCTCAGGAATTATTGAGTGAAATGGGTGGTTTTTCCACTCAGCGGACAGGAGTAGAGGAGGAGGAAGAGGAGACAGAGGACCCCAGACGCACCGTGGCAGTATGCTGTGAGATGGAGGCAGGGTAGTCCCTCGCATTCCTTGGCACAAATGGCCCATAGCATGCTCGCTTGCTTGCGTAGCGACAGCCGAATAATAACCATCAGACAGAGGGATGACTTTTGGCTGTCCACCTTGTTGGACCCTCGCTACCGTTCAAAAATGGTGGCCTTTTTCACACCTGCTGAGAGGGAGAGCCAAAATAACGTACTATAAAAACCACCTATGTAGTCAGCTGGTCTCTGCCTGTCTGCGCCAACGTCCATCCTCAGACACTGTGGGCCCTGTGCGCTCGCGTTCCGCTGCCATGGCAGCAGGGGAGGGTGGGGTGGTAGGAGCAGTGGCAGCTCCCACCAGCAGCGGCTGCCTCAGTCTGCAGTCGATGATGAGTAGCTTTCTTCACCAGCGCAGTGAGGAAACTACTAACCAGCCGCAGCAGCAGCACAGCAGCAGCAGCAGCATCAGGTGGACCTGGAGCAGGACCTCAAACAACAGGCTTAGGCCTACTTGGACAGCACCCTGCCAACCGAGGTAGACAATCCCCTTGACTACTGGGCAACGAAACTTGACCTTGGCCCCAACTAGCTGAATTTGCCCTTGAAAGGCTGTCATGCCGGCCAGTAGCGTGGCATCGGAGCGCGTGTTTAGTGCGGGCAGGAGGTATTGCAACTCCGCGGAGGACACGACTGTCCACCCAAAGTGTGGAGAGACTCACGTTTGTGAAAATGAATCAGGTGTGGATTAGTCTGGATTTCAAACCACCAGTTCCTGACACAACTGACTAAATCCGCCATGAATCATGCCCCAAACATGTGCCACTTTCAGGTCTCCTCACACTGCTGGTGTGTTCCATTTTTTTGTCATAGGGTGCTGGCAGATTACGGCCTCCCATAGCTGCTGCCAGGCCCCTAATCTGCCATGGGCCCCTATACCGCCTCCACATGCTGCTGCCAAGGTCCAGAGTCTCTCATGGGTCCCTGTACGCCTCCCATTGCTGCTGTCTCCATCGCCACACTCTGCCATGTGCCACTTTCAGGTCTCCTCACACACTGCTGTGGGTTCCATTTTTTGTCATAGGGTGCTGGCAGATTACGGGGCCTCCCCATAGCTGCTGCCAGGCCCCTAATCTGCCATGGGCCCCCTACCGACTCCTCATGCTGCTGCCAGGCCCGTAATCTGTCATGGGCCCCTGTTGTCGCTTGTTGGCATATTCCGCTCGTTCAGATGCTCCTTCTCCTGCTACTCCTCTTCACGATTCCGTCAGCAGTCTTTCTTGGAATCCGTTTCCAAGAGACAACAGTTTGCGAGCACGCACCCGACGGTGCAGAAGCTGAACGTCCTCCTGTCCAAGTTGCTGCTGCCAGGCTCGTAATCTGTCATGCGCCCCTGTACCGCCTCCTCATTGCTGCTGCCAGGTCCAGAGTGTGTCATGGGCCCCCGTACCGACTCCTCATGCTGCTGCCAGGCCCGTAATCTGTCATGGGCCCCTGTACCCACCCCCGCCTCCCCATGCTGCTGCCAGGTCCAGAGTGTGTCATGGGTCCCTGTACGGCCTCCCATTGCTGCTGCTGCCAGGCCCGTAATCTGCCATGGGCCCCCGTACCGACTCCTCATGCTGCTGCCAGCCCGTAATCTGTCCATGGCCCGTAATCTGTCCATGGGCCCCTGTACCGCCTCCTCATGCTGCTGCCAGGTCCAGAGTGTGTCATGGGTCCCTGTACGGCCTCCCATTGCTGCTGTCTCTATCGCCACACTCTGCCATGTGCCACTTTCAGGTCTCCTCACACTGCTGGTGGTTTCCATTTTTGTCATAGGGTGCTGTATGGCCTCCCATTGCTGCTGCCTCCACCGCCACACTGTGGCTCCCACACTCTGGTTTTGGCCCCGTGACTGCCCCAAATGAGTGAAGTGTGCGGTGATTCTAAGATCGACGGCACTCATCTGCATGTCATACTGACTGACAGTATTATTTCTCTTCCCCAGCAGACTCCAAGGGCATTTAAATTAAAGGTACAGTGTTCTGCACTAATATTAAGTCTCTCTGAAGCCTAGAAACACCCTTTTTAAGTTAAATTCACAGCGAATATATTCGACTCGAATCAAAATTTTTCCACGAATTCGCCGAATCAGTCAAAATCGAATTTTTGAATACTTCGCTCATCTCTAGTGACAACCATGACTCCTTCTATGGAATGGATATAGTGCATTGATTGAACATAGCCACCATAGGACAAGAAGTGTGTTACTGTTAGGTCAAAATAAAGATACACTTTAATAAAGTTGAACTCCACGACTGATGAAGACACACTTAGTGTAATTCATAAAGTATACACTCTTTAGAATCCCCTCGAACCTCTGCACCCAAATTGTCAGTTTTTGATTCATGTACCAGATTTGGTACCAGACACTTTGTCCTCAGTGCAGCTCAGTAGTACTGAGCCGCATCCTGATCACACAGACAGACCCATGGCCAATATGTTTTTTATAGTAGGATGGGTGGAGCCTGATGGGAAACTGGCAGAGTAGTTCTTCATCAGGTCCACTTTACTTTTGATTGACAGAACTGTAGCCATGGAGTTTGGTGGGACAACTCTGAGACTAGTTCCCCATCTGTTCCACCTCCACAGTGCCTCATCATTGCCCAAATATAGGCATTGCAATAATCGATTGCAATAATGATGTCAGCCAATAAGCCACAAGGCTGGAATGGGCTACAAGCTTGGTTAAATGGAGACAACTGTTGGATCGATTATTCGCAAATGGAAGAATTTGCGAATTCATGCAATATTTCATGCAACTGTTGGATCCATGCAATATTTTGCCTCATGAGGTAAGGATGATCATGAGAGAAGTGTGGGATCAGCCCAGAACTACACGGGAGGAGCTTGTGAATTATCTCAAAGGCAGTTGGGACCACAGTCACCAATCAAACCATTGGTAACACAATACGTTGCCATGGATTGAAATCCTGCAGCGCCCAGAACTACACGGGAGGAGCTTGTGAATTATCTCAAGGCAGTTGGGACCACAGTCACCAATTAAACCATTGGTAACACAATACGTTGCCATGGATTGAAAACCTGCAGTTCCTGCAAGATCCCCCTCCTCAAGAAGGCACATGTACAGGCTCGACTGAAGTTGGCCAGTGAATATCTAAATGATTCAGAAAAGGATTGGGAAAAAGTGCTGTGGTCAGATGAGACCACAATTGAGCTCTTTAGCATTAACTTGACTCGCCGTGTTTGAAGGAAGAAAAATGCTGACTATGAATCTAAGAATACCATTCCTACAGTCAAGCACAAAGATGGAAACATTATGCTTTGGGGCTGCTCTTCTGCTAAAAGGTACAGACTGACTTTACTGCGCTTAGAGGCCAATGGACAGGGCCATGTATTGTAAAATCTTCTTCCCTCATCCAGAACACCGAAGATGGGTCATTGATGGGTCTTCCAGCATGACAATGACCCAAAATATACTGCCAAGGCAATAAAAGGGTGGCTCAAGAACAAGCACATTAAGGTCATGGAGTGGCCTAGCCAGTCTCCAGACCTTAATCCTATAGAAAATTTATGGAAGGAGCTGAAACTTTGAGTTGCCAAGAGACAGCCAAGAAGCCTTAAGGATTTAGAGAAGTTCTGTAAAGAAAAGTGGACCAAAATCCCTCCTGAGATGTGTGCAAACCTGATAACCAACTACAAGAGATGTCTTACCTATGTACTTGCCAACAAAAGTTTCTCCACCGAGTACTAAGTCATGTTTTTGCTTGGGGATCAAATACTTATTTTACTCACTGAACTGCAACTCAATTTGTAATATCTGTATGATGTGCTTTTTTTTCTGGATTTATGGTTGATATTCTGTCTCTATCATTTAAAATACACCTATGATCAAAATTATAGACCCTTCATTTCTTTGTAAGTGGGCAAACTTACAAAATCTGCAGGGGATCAAATAATCATTTTCCCAACTGTATATGCAATGAAAATAATTTTTTTTTCCCTTTGAA